GTTTAAGCTTCCAGAATGTTGCTAAGCAGTGACTGAGGCTTTCTTTGATGATGAGTAATATTCGCCATCGTGTAAAGTCACCAAGGCCCGCGATCAGCCGATCTGTCCGGCTGGTGTCCAGTCACCGCCTGTTGGCTCTATAAGCGTTGACCTGCGCCATTTGCTGTAAGAGAATTAATTAATGAAACACAGCTACCTATAGAGTTTTTTTTCGTTAGAAACTGTACGCCTTATCCTGAGGTAATTCTCTTTACTTTATATAAACTCCTGATCCGGAAGCAATTTTTGTCCGTTATTTAAATCAGAATTGTGGATGCTGTGAGACACATTGCGTCGGTATAATCAAGTTTTACTTGACACTGAGTGGCGGCTGGTGACAATCCTACAATTTGCGGATTCATCCGCCTTCTCAGACTTATTTATCTCTTCTATGAATGCAGCCGTCCTTTAACCCTTTCTTTTCCCCCCAATCGGGCATCCCCTCTGCCAGGGAAGTTGATTGTTCTTGCAATGCCGCTTCTGGAACAATCGAGGAAGTTCTGCCTGGACATGCCCAACTCCTGGAATGTCTCCTTTGACTTTCCACTCTTCCTCCATGCCTACTTTCTAGCCATGTTGCCAGGTGAGTTTCTAACTCGGCTTTCTCTATCCTTTTCAATGAAAACTGACCTTGTTGCTGATTATGAATTAACAGCAAAAGAGGGGAGGGCGAGAGGGAGAGAGTGCGCGCACTTTTACTTTCAGGTGATCCGATTGTTTACTCTTAACTACTCCCAGTCTCCATAATCCCACAACGGAAATCAGAAAACATGGTGAAAAAAATTAGTACAGCTGTTATTTTCGCACTTTAACATCTAGTTTCCACATTTATATCGAAAATCTGATTAGGCCTGATGTGATGGAGCTTGTTAACCCGGCTTACTATAGCAGCCACAGTGAAACTCCCACTCGTTTGAAAGCGGCGACTTCACAGCAATCAAGTTAAAATGAGGGCGTGAGTCACTGCCGCAGCGCTAGGTTATGACTTGAAGGGATGAAGAACCACTTACAGAAAAGAAGAGTACTTGGAAGAATGTACGTCTTGCTAATACAAGCGAAAATGCGAGTCCCAGGAAGTACTTGAAAAGTAGAAGACGACTCGATCGCTGGGACAACATGTTTATTCGCCTGACGTTTCGAAATCCGTCGCGGATTCATCTTCAGAGACCTACTCACTGAACAGTAGCAGAAACAGTTTGTGTGTGTACAGGGTTTTGCCGTAAAATTTAAACGTACAAAAATAGATAAATGCCTTGAGTGTGCGCTGATTCGCTGCGTCAGCAATAACCATCTGGCTCTGCGGTGTTGGCATTGGATGACGTGGTGGTCTGTCTGTTCCCTGAGCGGTGACTTGCTTTGGCCAAATTTAGTCCCAGCACCGAGTATAGATTGGGCAAGTCAGGAGACTAATTAAGTATAAAACGGAACCAGCCTCCAGCATACAAGAAATGCGCTCATTGCCTGCTCGTGCCTTCCAGTTTCTTCCCGCGTTCATTGGTATGAATAAGCCAGAACATTCGGGGCGGGATTGGACCCGTTCTTCCGCCGTATAACACACGGTAGTCTTGGCCGCACCCCACAAGCTAGCAAGATTTCCCCGAAGCTACTCCGCAAAAAACACAGCCCTATGTTGGTTCCA